GCAGGTACAGCCTGGGCATGACCACCATGCAGGTACAGCCTGGGCAGGTACAGCCTGGGCATGACCACCATGCAGGTACAGCCCGGGCAGGGCTGGGGTGGGCTGTGTGCCACTCCTGCCATGCCCACAGCTCAGACATCTCTGGGGTTACACTGGGAATCCTGACCAAACCAGTGCATAAAGGGTGACAGAGCTGGTCTGTGTGGGTATGAGGAAGGTGGGAAGGCAGCACGTGCATGAGCTGGCTGTCTGTAGTTCCTGAAGGGAGCAGCATGGCCCTTAGTTTCAGCATAGGGAAGGATATTCGGCTGTCTCAGTGTTCCATCAAAAACAGTAAAAGCTGGAGGAATAGAATTTCCAAGCCAAGAAAGGAAGGACAAATCCTAGGCTGGTAAGCTCCCTTTGGAGCAGTTGGGAGGTTTAATGAGCTCATCCTCATGGGAAGACAGAGTAGCAAGAGAAGAGAATTTTAATTCCACTCTTGTGGTGAAATAATGCAAATAACACAACTGGGACAGGACAGCTCCCAGTCTGGGATGGTTCTCAGCCACAGCCTCTCCACTCAGGTTTTCTACCCTGCTAATGAAATCAGACTGCCTTTCCTGTGCTCTTCCTTTCTGTGCATAAAGCTTTGGAGACAAGGAGGCACGATGACCTTAGGAAAGGTTTTATCAATTGATCAGCCTTTCCCTAAATCGATTCTTCTGTTTCTCCAAAGGTTCTGTCTCCTCTGTCTGACTCCATCCTGGCAGAGAAGACAGTGACCGTGCTGGATGACAAAGTGACCATCACAGACCTCGGGGTGCAGCTGGTGTCGGGGCTGTCTCTCTTCCTGCAGCCCAGTGCAGCCACCAGCAGGGCCATCGTGGCCACAGCCGTGGCCCAGGAGCTGCTTCACACTCCCAAGCAGGTAATGTGCCCTCTGGATTTACTGGGTTTGCTTCTGGGATGGGGCAGGACTTTATCAGTGCAAAGTACAGATGAGAATTCACAGCTGGTTTAGGATTTAAACTTCAGGGGCAGTCTGTTTCCATGTTAATTGCTTTTCCCTACAGATACTCTGGAATTGCTTTGTCATTTCTTCCCTTCCAACAGGGACTTCAGTCTACAGTAAAAGTCCTAACTGCACTGAAGTTTATGCTGTTCACAGTTTTAATACTTTCTTTAGCTAATGAACCTGTGTTGTTTTCACTGCACAGACAGATTTTGGACAGTGATCCTGGTTTGCTGTGTGGGCATGCCCTTGTTTTCTGCTCTGGAGAGCACAGAGCTCTGTGTGTCACAATTCCATATCTTCAAGAGCTGTAAAAAGCAGAAGATGGCCACATCAGTTTCTTTTCCCTCCTGGAGCCACCACACACTGCCAGGCTCATCTTTCCTTTTATTTTTCACGTGGATTTTGGGGAATTCATCATCCAATTTGTGTGCTGATCTTATTTAAGCCAGCAAATTCCCATCTCTCTAAAGGGGGTCTTTCAAACAGCTTGTCTAGGTCACAGCCTCTGTGGAAAAGAAGATTGGAGAACATCAGCAGGTCAAGGCAAACAGTCACTGGCCCAGAATAAACCCAAGGGTCAGCACTGGAACATCTTTCCGTGGTCAGTTGGTTTGAGGGTTGGAACTGGGGACCACACAATTAAATCTGTCCACAGCTACTGCATTTTTCCTCTCCCATAGATAGGGAGAGATCTCAAGTCAAGTTTTATGGCCCATTTTCATGATTATTGCTACCTAATTTTCTGGAACATAAAAATAATCTAGTTTGTTTTATAACTTAGTGACAGGGAGATGTCCAAGCTAGAAGGACACGGTGCCCATCTGTTCCATTTGTTGCATCCTGTAAACATAAGAATCTTATGCAATTAACCCATTTGTACCCTTCTTCGGGGCTTAGAAACCACATCTGGCATACTGTCTTCAGACAAAGCCTGTGAAACAAAAGCTGGAGCCCTCCTGAGCCAGTCGTGTCCTGTGGGACGGAGCAGCCCCAGTCGTGCAGCAGCACTGGAGGAATTGTGGCTGATTGCAGACACAAGAGCCCGTGGGTGTGGAGAGGCTGCCCAGTGCCACTGCCAGCCTCTGTGGTTTGTGCATGGTCTGTCCTGAGTATGCAGAGACATTTGTCAGCATCAGGGTATGGCAGGTGATGCCAGGGGTGCCCCCTGTGCCACCTCCTGTTGTCTATGGCGTGGCAATGTGATGTGACATGTCACTGCGTGTCACTGCAACTAGCACGTTGGGAAGTCATACAGAACAGTCAGAACGTGTAAATGTGACTTGGGCTGACATTATTTCTCCCATCATCTGAATTGTGAAATTATTTTGGTGAAATGTTTGGTTTAGGCTGCTGTTCCCTGCAGGACAGTCTCAGGTGGTGAGGGTGGCACATTTCTGATGCAGAAGTCAGGCCCTGGTTGTGAGCAGGGCATCTCCATCACCAAAACCAGACAGGAATAGATTTCCCACTGGAAAATAATGGAAGGAAATGGTGTAGGAGTGACCTGTAGAGTCACAGACATCTTTTCCTTTCATTGCAGCTTGAATGAAGGATATAACATTTAAGTCACTTTCCCTTAGAAAAATCAATGCAAATGTGGGAATGTTTGTGGCTAAATTTTGCAAGAAGTGACTCATGATTTGGAGTGCATCAGCTGAGATCCTGACTGAGCTGGAATTCTGAAGGCAAATGCTGAGTGTTTGCTGAAAATCAAGCCCTTTTGAAAGAGGGTTTTTTCCAAGGAGACAGCCCAGGACTAAGCCTGTACTTGAACATTGTGAGTTCTTCATTACTTAAGTGTGTCTTTTCCTCTCAAGCAAGTTTATAAAAACCCCAAATAACTCGTGCAACCTTACTGATGCAACTGGAAAACAAAAATCAGAATTTTTACTGTGGCTTTTTTCAGTGACCATAATGAGTGGATTACCTCAGTTCTAATGACCACACCTTGTCTGCACACACAGCACAAAGCAGCCAAAGCACAAGTCCTGAAATTTGGCAGTTTCTCCATAAGTACAAAGCTCTCTAAAGAAGATAAGCCAATATTTTTTCACCTTGGAAGCTTTAAGTTAGATACCTTTATCTATAGCTGAGCAGCTAATTACCTGCTGTGGCAAGGTGACCTTGGGGGATGCTGAGCCCATGTATTATTTTTTAATCAATAGGGAGCTCATTGGCACTGAAAAGTGGATCAGTGATTTAGGTGCCTAAAAATAGACACGGGTTGACCAACTTTTAAATATCAGAGATGAAGTGTCTTCTGAAAAATTGGAAACTCTAGCTGTGAGTTATCTATTTCTGGAGGCCATCTGCTCAGGTAGGAAGGCTGCTCCATTTGGCTTGCTGGTGGTTGTTAAATCAACACTGTCATCCTAAAGGCTTCTCCAAAATGTAAACAAAAGGAAACCTACAGTGTTTAAATGTTTTCTGATCTAAGTGAGCTTCAAGGACTCTCAAAGCTCAGCTGGCTCTGCAGGGGAACTCACAGTAATATCCAGCTTTTTGTCATTGTAGGGTATTGCATGGGGGCTGAGCAGCTGAAATGGGTCAGTGAAGAAAGGAGAAAAAGCCTTTAATAAACAGCTCTGTGCATTAAAGTATCTCTCAGTGCTCCTGGGGAGCTGCAGACACTTTCTCAGGGAAAAAGAGCAGTGTTGGTGCTTTGTCAAAGGCAAGTTCTGGTGCTCCCCAGGTGCAGTGCCTGCTCCAGGCCTGGCTCTGCTCTCACTCTCTGGGAATGGGAGAACATCCCTGGGCAGCAGAACAGGCTGGATCATTGTCCTGGCCCTGCTTCTGGATGGCCTGCATCAGCTCTGGCCTTCCTGAGCATTCACTGACCCCTCACAGTTCACAGCAGATATTAGCAGGATTGTCATGGTGTGGGTTCATTGCCCCATCCTGGCAGTGTGAGTTACACACAAACTGTATTTATATCTTAAAACAGATATTAGCAGGATTGTCATGGTGTGGGTTCATTGCCCCATCCTGGCAGTGTGAGTTACACACAAATTGTATTTCTATCTGCTTTATGCTGACAGAGCAGTGGAATGGCTCACAGGAATGACAAAGGAATTCAGCAGCATGGGAAAGGGAGAAGGGATGCATTGTTGGATAAGAACCTGAATTCCTCCCCTGCAAATACAAGCAAATTCCCACTGGAAAGGAATGTCACATGAGCAGATTGGACAAAAAGGAGAGAGAGAAACCCACAGTGGGGGGATGCATGGTTTGAATTAAGATCTGAGTCTTGGCTGCTTTCATTTCCACATCATAACGATCAAGCCCAATTTTTACTACACAAGCCACAGGCTTAAAAATAAATGCACATGTAATACTTTGATATTTCATGTGATAAAATTGCTAGAGAAATCATTCCAGCATCCAAGTCCCCAGACAGAGCAATCAGAGCTGGCCCAGCAGAAGCTGCTGAGAACAATATTCCTTTGCCTTTATTGAGGGAGGGGTGTATTTGTTTTCTGCAGAGCCAACCATTTCTTCCCTCTGATGTCCTGCCTCACTCCAGGGCCCTTGCAGCTGACCCCAGCAATTGAGGGCTTACTCACAAATACTTTTATTTGTGCTACAGTGAATGGAGACCGTTAAATGGCTGTTTTATTCTGAGCATTGAATAAAATCAAATATCCCAAACTGTGTTTCTAAGCAGCAGGATTCTCTAAAATGCAACCAGTTTATCCAAGAAGATTTATCAAATGGTATCTTTGGACTGATAAGCCACAATGTAATTCAAGGCCAGGAAAGGTGGTGGAACTGCCATGGACCATGAGCTGAAAATACACTTGTGGTGAGGGAAGAGAGAAGCAAAGGCACAAGGGAAAGTTTAGACAAAAGATGTATTGATGAAATGTTTTAGGTGCTTAAGGAAAGCCTGGTGGTGATCAACAGTGTTGTGGGAAGCAGTTTCTGCATCTCTGGGCTGGATTTTGCTGTCATTAGCATGACCTGATGAGCAATCTCTGACTTTGCACTGAGATGCTCCTGCTCTGTGGGGAGCACTGGCACTGATGTGTCCCTGTGGTCACTCTGACTGTGTGAGAGAGGAAGAGTGAGGGAAATAAAGGCTGGAAAGCCAGCTAATCCCTCACACCCTTTGTTTGTGCTTGGTAATTAAAGGGCACAAGCATTTGTCACCTCAGTGCTGGGGGCAGCAGACGAGGGGCAGCAGCTCGGCAGGTGAGAAGGCTCCCATCCATCTTCATCTTCTGAGAGCAGCTGGAGGGACCTTGTCAGAGATTTGGAGGGGATTTATTGATGTGGTACACAGGATTTGCAGAAACAGCTCCTTGAAGGACATGGCACTAAATCATTTCCTTTTTCTCTCTTCTTTTCTTTTTAGCTTCTCAGAATTTATAATCATTTGGGAAATTCACTTCCTTGCCCTGCCTTTGGCTTTCCTTTAATGATGTGAATGAGAGGAAATGATCTCTTGCCAAATAGAATATTTGGTCTGATCCAACATATTTGGGCAGGATTTTAAAGTCTCTCCCTCTGTCTCTCATTTGTTTCCTTTTCCTTTTAATTAATGTTGTCCATAGCATGGGCATGACAATGTTGTTTTGTGAAAAAATTGGTTCCTCCTATGAAGAAACGTTCTCTTGGAAATAAAAAATGTCAGTGCTGGTAGAAAATAATGGCTAAGCCAGTGCACACCTCTGTTGCCTACAGTAAATCACAAAGTGTGCCTGCAAATTTCAGCTGACTGCCATCCCATTTTTCTCTGTCTCTGCTTCATAAAAGCAGGAATGCAGATTTGTAGAGCAGTGGCATAAAGAATAAAAGTTGCTTTGAAGTTGGTGGCAACTTTGTGCCAATGCACAGAGGGTTCATTGAGGTGAGTCCACGGTAAGGTGTGGAGCTGAGCCTGTTCCCAGCTGGGCAGGGGCACAGGTGCCATCCCTTCCAGCCCCACCTGGACAAAATCCTGCAGGAATTTATTTTCTCTCCTGCTCTCCAGAGGAGGACACAGGGGCAGGCAGTGGTGGTGTGCTGGAAGTGATGCTGGTGTTTCCCTTCCCCAGGGGCACATGAGCTGACCTTTGTTGTGGGGAGAAGGGAGGCAGCAGCATGCGGGATTGCCTGAGGAGGTGAATCCTCTTCTCTCTGCACATACCCATTAAAAACCCCCTTTGCTTTCCTCTGACCGGGGTTGCTCTGCTATAGATTTCTGTGATAGAAATTCGAGCTGTGCCCTGCAGCTTTGTGTTTGTTCACTCATTTCAGGGTTGTTTCTCTAATGAAACATCAGATGTTTTAATTTCCTTCTGCAGTTCACCCTTCCCAGCTTCTGAGCTACCCTGGCTCCGTTTCAGCTCTTTGAAGTAAATTTGAATCACCAAGAACTCTGCCTTCTTTCCTGTTGTGCCACAACTTATTTTTCTTCTTTCAGTCCCTCAAGTACTTGCTGATAGTGCTTTGGAAATCAAATATTCAGTATGGCCCAACCTTCTGCCCAGCTAAATGCCCCTTGCTGTTTTCATTGAACAGCTTTAAATTCAACTGGAAGGGCAGCAATTCTCTTTGTTTATAACCATAGCATAACAAATTGCAGCCAATTGAAAACCATATTAAGTTGTAAATTTGTATTATGAGTGGACATTAACAGGGTGGCAATGTTTTTCCCCAGTGCTGGTTTTTCAGCCCAGTTGTTCTGATGTACCCAAGTGTGAAGTTATTAGAGCCATTTGTGGCTGAAGTGTGGGAAGGAAAGAACTTCAGTTTGTGGGAAGTTGCACTCTGGCAATCTGCCTGGCCGTCTGCTGGCTACGCAGGCAAGGCACAGAACAAATGAAAAATTAAAGAAATGCCCTGCAAAGAAAGCTATTGAGATGTGGAGAAGTAAATATCTGTGTCATCTGGATGGGATTTCACATGGCAGAGAGCTGACCTCTGGCTTTGTGTTTGCTTCTAGTGATGACTTCTGCCAGTGCTACCTGCAGAGCACAAAGACAGACCAATTAAATCCAGGCCATTTGTATTTTTATTGCAGACATCATGCCAGAATCCCCATCCTCCTCTTCTTGACACAGAAATTTGGTGGACTTTTTAATTATCTCAAGGATAAAGTGCATTTTGCTTAAAACAAACCTTTCTCCAGCAAAATGGCATTTGTTCTGTGAGTCTTTTTCTTTCAGATGAATCTTCTGCTCCAGCCATTTCCAAGATGCTGTGGTAGCTCCTTACTCCTGCTAAGATCCTTATGCCTTAATTTGACAGCTCCCCATGACACCTGTGCATGTGTTACATGAGGGAAATAAGTGTTCTGTCAAGTGTCTCTGGTAATTTCTGTGATTTGCCTCTTTTGGCTTTTGTACCACAGGAATGACTTTCCTTACAGAGCTTGTAAAATTGTACCTTGCTAATGGGCACTTGGGTAATAAAGACATCTCGTATCAATTATTTTCTACGTCCTTGTGCAAAACATTTGCAGGGAGAGTAACAGTGGAACCCTTAGCGATGAATGCGGCCAGTTTTGTGCCCCACCAGTCGAGGCTTGGTTTGCTTTAAATGCAGTGCAGGGTCCTGTTTCCTCCAGCTGGGAGGTGGATGGGCTGCAGCGGGCTGGGCTGATTTACTGCAGGCCTGTGGTGGTGCTCACAGGGGTCCTAGGACGAGGGAAGAGATGAGAATCTTGACTCCATGTTCCAGAAGGCTGATTCGTTGTTTTGTGATATATATTATATTAAAAGAAAATAATATATTAAAACTATACTAAAAGAATAGAAGAAAGGATTTCCTCAGAAGGCTTGCAAAGAAAGGAATGGAATGATAATAATATCTTGTGACTGACCAGAGTCCCAACACAGCTGGACCTGTGATTGGTCATCAAGTAAGAACATTCACATGGACCAATCCCAGATGCACCTCTTGCATCCCACAGCAGCAGATAACCATTGTTTACATTTCATTTCTGAGGCTTCTCAGGAGAAAAAATCCTAACGAAAGGATCTTTTCATAAAACATGTCCGTGATAGAGGCCTGTGTTTAACCATGTCCCTGTCCCTGCAGGAAGCCGTGGTAAGCACCTGGATCCAGTTCAGTGACAGCTCTGTCACCCCTCTGGACATCTACGACCCCAAGGACTTCTGGCTGTCGGCGGTGTCCCTGGACGAAGCCGTGGTGTCCGTGCACCAGAGCCTGGCCCTGCGGTGGCCCGTGGTGGCGGCCGAGGGCGAGGGCCAGGGCGCGCTGGTCAAGGTGGACATGATGATCTCCGAGGCGTGCCAGAAGTCCAAGAGGAAGAGCGTGCTGGCCGTGGGCAGCGGCAGCATCAGGGTGAAGTTCGGGCAGAACGACGCGGACGCCGAGGCGGGCGGCGACTACGACGCCGACGAGATCGAGAACCGCGCCAGCGACCGGCGCCACAAGGGCCCGGAGCCGGGGCACGACGGGCGCTACCACGGCGGCTCCTCGGCCGACAGGGACCCCGAGGGGCCCCTCAGGAAGGCCAGCACCACGGCCAAGTCCGTCCTCAAAAACAAAGTCATCAAAAACAACCGCCTGGACGGCGGCAAGCTCTCGGACGACAGCCAGCTGCAGAACATCCCCATCGACTTCACCAACTTCCCCGCCCAGGTGGACCTGCCCAAAGGAGGTGCTGGCATGGAGGACAACGACCTGGTGCAGACACCCCGCGGGCTCAGCGACCTGGAGATCGGCATGTACGCCCTGCTGGGCGTCTTCTGCCTGGCCATCCTGGTGTTCCTCATCAACTGCGCCACATTTGCACTCAAGTACCGCCACAAGCAGGTGCTGGTGGAAGGACAGAGCACCATGACGCACTCCCACGACTGGGTGTGGCTGGGCAACGAGGCCGAGCTGCTGGAGAACGCGGCGGACGCGTCGCCCCAGCAGGACGAGCACACCACCATCATCGACCGCGGCTCGGGCGCCGACGAGAGCAACCAGCTGCTGAACGGCAGCGCCCCGAAGAGCGCCGCGAGCCAGCTGCACAGGGCTGCGGACCCGGGGGGCAGGCTGGGCAAGGAGCACAAGGTGGAGCCTTTGCACTCGCCCACGTCCAAGAGGAAGCGGGTGAAGTTCACCACGTTCACCACCATCCCGCCCGACGACGGCTGCCCCACCGTCAACTCCATCCTCGGCAGCCACGACGATGACATTAAGTGGGTGTGCCAGGACATGGAGCTGGGCGACTCCAAAGAGATCAGAAACTACGTGGGGAAGTTCAAAGACAAAGCGTAGCTCCCTGCTGGGGTGCTTTTTTTGGGTTTGACCACACCTTGATGCCTTCAGTTCTACAGTATATATTGGGACGGAGGGGAGGGGAAGGGATCGCCAGGAGAAACGATGAGGCAGTTTTTATAATCAGGGAAAGAAATTTTGCCAAACTGTCCGTGGTTTGTTTTTGTTTTCCTGCTTTGTTTTGTTGGGGTTTTGTTGTTTGTTTATTTTTTTCCCAGTGCTTATTCTGCTATTCATGGATTTAGGAAGTGGAATACAAAAGGAAAGGAACAAGGAAATGGTATGACCAGTTTGATGAACTGGGCAAGATGAGGTTGTGAAAATTCATTTTATGGGTCATACAAATAATAACGATAGTAATATTTCACAGTACCAAAAATATCTGTAAAAAGAAATGAGAGAATATAAGAGCATGAAAAGAATAAGCAAGAGGCAAACAATAACTTGTTCTGGTTCCAATAAAACATCACAGTTATGGACATGTGACCCACAAGGAGAATTTTTATATTGGTTCTCAAGCCATTTCTTTTCTTTCCTTCATTTGAAATGAAGATGTGTCTTTGGCATTACATGTGAAGGAGGAAGAAATTACCTGGTATTTTCATTTTTACTTTTCCATTTGTCTTGTAAATTGAAACAGAATCATTTTCCCTCTTGTATTTTTCTTTTAAATATCCTGAAAACAGGAAAATTTAAAATTCAATAAGTTCACAGTGGGACAAGAACATTCTGTTTCTAAGGTAGCTATAAACAGTCTCCTGTCATTTAAAAATTCAGGGGATAAGTATTGACTGATAATTTCCACGTGGTGTCTCTTCTGAAAGCCTGAGCCTCCATCTCACCCTGGCAAGAAAGATGTTCTGTTTGAAAGAATTTTCGTTTTCCTTTCAGGCTGGGTTGTTTGTTTAGTTGCTTGTTTGAAATTTCCACAACCAAAGTTCCTGTGTTTCACCAAGGGAAGGAGGTGCTGATTTCTGTTAGCTTTTACAAGTACCAAGCAAAGGGAGTGCCCCTCTGGTGCACTGTAAATGTTCCTGGAACTGAGACCACTGCAGGCCAAATATGCACAGCCTGCAGTTGGGTTGTTTGGGTTTGGTTTGTTTTTTTTTTTTTTTGCCAGGTTCATGAATTCATAATTTTGTGCTGCATTTTTCTGTTTATTCTGGTGTCTCCAGCTCTCATCAAGCTCTGAAAGCAAGAAGAGGAGTGGACAGAAAGACCCTGATTGCCCCAAATGTTTATTCCCTTTTTACTGGGAGAGCTGGCCTCTGGGCACACTGTTGGGAGGGAGGGAGGGAAATATTGCTGAAGCAAGAACAAGAAATACCTGGAACTGTTTTATAGATTTTTTTTTTTTTTTTGCCATTGGACCAGCAAAGACTGAAAAGTTTAGACTAGATTGTAAATCTGAATTTTGAACAAGCAAATACCAAGGCAGTAATAAATCAGAAGCAAATACAAAATAGAGGTTTAATAAATACAAAATAGAAATTTAATTTGTGGTGTGAACTGGCAGAACTGTGCTGGCTCAGTGCCAGTTCACATTCATGGAGGGCACAGATCAGAATCCATTCGAAGAGGAAAGCAGTGTCCTCCCAAAGCTCTCCTGATGAAAGGAGGTGGCAGAGCCAGCCCTTGGAAGCAGTATTATGTGAGCCAGGAGCACTTGCATCGTCCTGTCTTTGCCATCAATTTCCTTGGTTTGGGTTTTTTAATTACTAAACTCCGTAGTTTGGGTTTTTTTACTTGGACAAAGTCAATCCTGCCACCCAATAACATAGATGGACGTTTTAACAAGGTATGCCTAGTATGCATTGTAGACTGAAAGAATGTAATATTTATTTATACATGTTATATGAATTGTAATTAAAATGCTTTACACGGCTGGACAAATTAACCTCTCTCTGCTCAGGGGGGTGCTCCTCTGTGGTTTCTGTGCAGTGCTGCATCCCTGCCCTGGATTTCAGCCCCTTTCTGGAGGGAGAACAGGGATGTGAGGGAGCTTTCCCTGCTCCGAGCCTTCCTCTCCGCGGGTGATGATGATGGATGGCAGGAGCAGCTCAGCCAGGCACAGGGCAGGGCAGTGCCACCATCCATCTTCTTCAGCACCAGCAGCTCCCGGACGCTGCTCCTGGCATGGGCAACCCCTGGAATTCATTAATTAATTTATTTATTAATTATGCGGCTCTTCCTGGGAAAACACAGGTGTCCCTGGCATGGAACAGGCAGTAACAGCGTGGAGCTGCAGCAGAGGAGGCAGAAACACAGAACTGGAGCAGAAACCATGGTGTGGTGGCACAGAAGGAACCGGTTCCAGGGACATGTTTGAGATTTTGGGGAAGGATCCCTGTGCACCCGTGAGGGGTGGCACCTCCAGGACCCCAGGGCTGCACAGGAGCAAGGGGGCCAAACCCTGGCTCTGGGCACAGGAGGACAGGCTGCACTTGAAAACACAGCAGAGGGAGGTAAAAAAACCAAAAAAAAAAAGGAAAAAGCTGAGCCCTGCCTTCACATTTAATTTGTCTGAAGCTACAGAACACGGGGCTTCAGAGGCCAGTACTGAAACTTTTCAATTTGTCTTGCACCGACCAAAATTTCTGTCACAGCCCTGTTCAGAGTGAGCCACCACAAACGATCATCTCAGCAGGGAGGAGCACTGGGCTGTGAAATGTCATTTATTGGGGACACTCACACGGGGTCAATGCAGCATTCACATCTCTGGAGTTTTGGTTGCAGAGCACTGGGATGGGCACAGGAGCTGCTGGAGCCTCCCTGCTGCCAGCTCAGCTCACTGGGCAGGAGAGGGAACCTGCCCCTGCCAGGGGTGTAAGGCTGCAGAGATAACATCCTGCAGAGATAACATCCTGCAGAGATAACATCCTGCAGAGATAACGTGTGCAAGGTGCATCTTCTGTCAAGGAGCCAGGCCAGAAACTCATTAATCACAATTTGCACTTAGAGGAGAGAGAGCATTTCATCTGAGCAGCTCAGTGACTCCCAGTTGTGAAGGATGGAGATGTGAGTGGTCTGAGGAGGAGGAAGAGGAGGAGGAAGGAGCCAGTGCTGGGTGTTCCCCTGGTGCCTGGAGCAGGGCACTGAGTGGAATCACCTGGAGCAGGGCTCTGAGTGGAATCACCTGGAGCAGGGCTCTGAGTGGAATCACCTGAACAAGCACCAGCTGAAGGTCAGGATTGGTGGGAGCTGTGATGGGTGTGATGAGAGGCACCTGTGGGACAGGAGAGCAGGTGAGGGTCAGTGAAGCTCCTCTGCTGCTGAGGCCACTGGGACAGGAGGGACTTCGGGGCAAAAAGTGAGTTCTGCTCTTACTCTTTTTTAGTACTGAGTTCTGTTTGGAGGGAAGGGGAAGTTTTAAGGTTTAAGTGTGGGAATCAGCAGGAGAAACTGTGTTTATCCTGCCCTGCCTTTGGGAAAGGAGTGAGGTGCAGCCAGCGTGGGGCACACCCGTGAGAGCCCCTGCCAGTGCTGGGTCCCAAATCTGCTGGGTCCCAAACCCTGCTGGATCCCAAACCCTGCTGGGTCTCAAATCCTGCTGGGTCCCAAATCCTGCTGGGTCCCAAATCCTGCTGCATCCCAGGTCCTGCTGCATCCCAGGTCCTGCTGCATCCCAGGTCCTGCTGCATCCCAAATCCTGCTGCATCCCAAATCCTGCTTCGTCCCAAATCCTGCTTCGTCCCAGGTCCTGCTGGTGTGGCTGAGTTCCTGGGCAGTCCCTATTCCCTCCCCAGCTCTACAAATACTTTGAGACTGATGAAATGTGAGAGGTGACCTGAAAAAGGAGAGCAGGGAGGCAGGGAATTCCTGGTGCTGCACCCCATGGGATGGGATGGGAACAGGGCAGTGACCCCCAGTGCTTCCACTCCTCCTTCTCCTTCCCTTGCCGAGCCCAGGCAGCCATGGCAGCGAAGCATTGCTGTGCTTTGAAACGCTCCTGGGCCAGATTGCAGTGCTCAGAAAGGAGCTGTCAGCAGAGAGAATGATGGAAATTACCAGAGTGGGGATGGAGGGGTTAACCCGGGACAGCGCCGGGGATG